GTGTTTTGTTTTTGAGAACGTAACGTAAAATGCAGGGTGGAGAAAGGCGAAATACCGTAGTATCACTGCTAGCCCCTCCGTCCGTAAGTTTCGGGACGCTGCAGAAGTTAAATATACAGAAAATAACATCTCATTTTTCTTTTAACGTAGACTGCATTCAGAGATTCCTTTTAGGTAGCTTTTCTGAAGTTGGAAACACGTACGTTAGGTATGAGCAAGGTGAACTGAAGTCGGACGCTAAAACCTTTTCACAACAAGACAGCTCACGTCAGGCACTTATTAGAAAGGAACATGGCTGGTGACAAAGAAATTATCCTGCAAAAAGTGATTTTCAAGGAATAATGTAGTCACCTCTCGTATATATAGAAAAAATAAACATCTAAGCTAATATCTAACACCTTACGGTTACTTGTTTCAGTTACCTGCTTTTAAACAAAACACGAATCACTGAGACTCTTAATATGAACTTTCCAAAGAAAGCAACAGAATCTAGTCAAATTTCAGTTGGTTTTGCTGCATGGATTGAAATATCTATTGAAGTGATGAAGCAGATTGTGATGATGATTTGTGTAGACAAATATTCAGATTTCAGATTTCAAGGTCAAAGTGGGAAAGTATGACCAGGTAACTTTAAAGAGGAAAATACTAAGCTCTTCTGTACACAAAGAGTCTCAGGAGTATGGAACAAGCTGCTCTGGCATGCTTCTGAAGCCCATACTCTGGGATCCCTCAAGGCTGCAGTACGATTCTAGCATCAACATGGCTCCTAGCTACGAAGATAACAAGACAGGCTGAACAGCACCCCATTTGTAGCCTTTCTTACATCAGACAGCTCAGATCAACAGCTGTGTCTCAAAATATGGCACTAATGGAAAAAAGGACAAGCACATAATCTCCTGGCCCTGCTCAGCTGAAACAGAGAAAGACCTGCACTCTCAGTGGCTCGGAGGCTGAGAACAAGCTACGGCGGTCCTCATTCGCCTCAGCCCTGCAGCACAGCAGGTCCGAGCCCGGAGCCTGCTGGGCTCGGGATACTCCTTGCCGTCTTCACTGTTTGCTCTGCCTGGGAGTGGAGGCCGTCAGATCTCACAGCGGTGTGTTGACTCTGCCTGTGTGCATGGGAGCTGTCCGTGGTTGCTAGGATTTCTAAACTCGACCAGGATGAACACAATGTTCCCTGTCCTCAGTAACGAATTGCATAAAACATGGCGCAGGTTTTGCTCCTTGGATTCAAGACTGAGTTCATCGTGATTGTGCCAAAATCACATACTATTCTTATGCAATATAAAACAAAAGAGGAAATGTGCATTACCTGTAGGACAAGCAACACTTACGTGGACACAAGGAAGTAAAATTAATAGATTGGCAGTGAGGCTAGCACACAGTATGGATACAGCAAACACCTTTTGGGTGTAATATATGCTGTGTGTTGTTTACTCAAATGTTCAAGAAGAGAACAGCTCTCCACTTCTGTTTCTTGTGATGGCAGAAGCAGGGAGGGAGGCCTGTCTCAGCTCGGGCAATTGATGAGGACTGAAGGAAGCACTTTGCCCACACAGCGTTATTGACAAATGTACAGGCTGTGCTGGGAAAGTGGCATGTAAATCTCCCAGCTCCCAGGTGCCCAGTTAAAATAAACTGCTGGCAATTTCCAAAGTGCACCGCATCGACCCCACTCTCCACGCGCTGACCCCTCGCCGACACGCTCGCCATAACTCACCCAGCCCGCCTGAACACTTCTCTTCTATGAATATGCATGCCATCGGGAGCTTTAATGAACCAGAGGTTGAGTCTGTTGAGCGATGGCATGCCGATGCAAGGCTGGTGTAATCCAATGTTCTACTCGTTGGCAGAAGTCAAACGTGCGTTGTGAAGCACGAGATTGAGCCGGGTTCGTTAGCAGCTGCGAGATCTGCCCGTAATAAAACCTCTTTTGAGGCCGTGCATCAGTCATGTTTAAGCCATTGTACGCAGGGTAGGGCGGCAAGGTGGAGCAGTGGATACCAGTGCTGGGGCCCCGGGTTCAACCCCAGACCTGGGCTGCTGTCTGCGTGGAGTTTGCATGTTCCCGTGGGTTTCCTCCGGGTGCTCCGGGTTCCTCCCACAGTCCAGTGTGTGTGTGTGTGTGTGTGTGTGTGTGTGTGTGTGTGTGTGTGTGTGTGCCCTGCTTGCACCCCTTGCTTGCTGGAATAGACTCCAGCTGCCCCTCTACTCTGAATTGGCAGCGAGGAGTGGTTAGAAAATGGATGAATGTCAATAATCATCATAACCTGCCTGAGTTGCACACATTCGATTAGGTCTCTGGCCCAAACGGGGCCGACTCCGGAGCTGCTGTACATGCCCGTAAACGTAATTCCCCCTCAGATCTGTTGTCTGTTCTGTGCTCTGTTTGATTGCGATGGCTCTATCGCCCCACAGCCAAGAGGAGGGAAATGAAATATTAAAGGAGAGCTTATTCTGGCTTTTGGCTTGTGTCACGAGGTTTTCAAAGAGTGCCCACCTGCAAAATGTTATCATGAAAACGCACTATAGCCTCAGACAGGAATGGCATAAAGAGGAGTTTCCCCAACGGAGCTGACTTCCCTTCTGTTAGGTACATACCTAGAGACTGTGCTCTAGTTGTGTACGCTGTCATATATGTAGTGTGAGGAGAAATCAGGTATTTTGACACCTCGAGCTGTGAGGACAGCTCCTTTGCAGTATGATGGAACAGTGTGTCCTCAGTATTCTCCTGCCGAAATTGACTTTTTAGAATTGTTTTCACTCAGACTGCAATTGTGATACGGTATGCTGGCAGTGATCAGATACAGGGAAAACACATTTCTTTAAAAACATTCAATCAGTAAGTTCAGCTTCTTTGATGGTGCTTGTCCTTGGGAGAGCCTAGGGAATGCTTTGGTAGGCACCTAATTTACAACAGGGACTCGCAAGTCTGAAGAGTCCCAGGGGGTCTCTTGCTGTTATTATCCAGCCCTGCTGTGTGAAGGTAAGCTAAGCACAGCACTGGGCTGCATGAACAGCGGATTTATTACTCTCGTCTGCTGTTGGCTTGTTTGAATCAATATATGGGTGGGCTTTTACATTCATACTCCGTTTTATGAAGAGGTAAAAAAGGGCGGAAAAGACCTGTTTCACAGACAAGCAGGCTGACTCCAGAATGTTAGGTATTGATTTCCGAGACGGGGACAGTGCGTCATAAAAATAACAATGATTCATTCGTTTTTACTACAACAATGTTATGATTCACAAGTTATACAAGATTACTTGCTTTATGAGAGCAAGACTAAAAGACATCACAAATACTACACAAACACTACACAGCACCATATACAGTATGTATATCATGTATAGTCCTTTACAAATATTTGTGCGAATGACACTAAATGTGTCGCATAGTTACAACTGAAAGGTGAGAGTGGTCCCTGGGATACAGTGGCCCTAGGACGTTCATGTGAAATTCTTTTTTCCAATCTGATTTTCTTTCATATACTGTGCTACACATACATTGTATTGTGTAGTAGAGTGGTTACGAAAGAGCTACGGCATGTGTTTTTTTTTTACCCTTGATCAAGAAAAGTGTCATTCAGAAAAACTTCAGGTGGGTAGCTGCGTCAGCATGCGTAGGCTGCAAAGGAACAAGTAATAGGTTTATTCCATGCTGAAAAAAAGAAGAAAGAGAACACAACGTTTCGGCCGTGGAGCCTTCTTCAGGTGTTAGGTGTTGACACCTGAAGAAGGCTCCACGGCCGAAACGTTGTGTTCTCTTTCTTCTTTTTTTCAGCATGGAATAAACCTATTACTTGTTCCTATTCAGAAAAACTGTTTAAGATATCTTCCCTGGTCACAAATAATGACTTGTGCACCTCTCTACAAGCACCCTGTCTTTCAGCCTGACTATTCGGTACATGTTCACTATACTGGCACCTGTATCTAGCCCCAACCTTGCTCTTAGACAAATTGGCTGTCATGTTGTCTAACTCAATAATATATAGCTGTCCACAGTGCAGTCAATCACTACACGCTCCCATTTTAGTTCTTTACATAAAATACATACAAATCTGCATATGCACAGGGACGTGAGGGTTTTAATTACACTAACGGGCTCTCCTTTAGGAACTGTGCTGCACTGCCAAGTCTGCTGGGAGCTACTATCAGTGTGCTGACTGCTCAGACAATAATTTTACATTTCTCTGAAAATCACCTAAAAACATGATGCACAGAGGGGCTGACTGGCTCCACAGTGCCTGGGCCTCTTCCAATGAGCTCTGGACTTCCAGCCCAGGCCAAAGCACAGCCCTCAGAAGACCTGCCGCTTATCTCAGGAAGGTTAAAGGTATTTTTGGAAAACTTTTGCTGCCCGAGATCTGTACTTCTGAGGGGCAGACAAAATTAGCGTTGGTGACAGGCTGACAAGCAGCTGAGAAGCACGGGCTGGTAGCACAAGCTCACAGCCTGAAAGCCAGTCCTGGGAGTTTCCAACTTTTTACAACTTTTTAGCCCGTAGCGATCAGAACTTCCAGCCAGCATGAGCAAAAAATATCCCCCCACTGCAATCACCCCGCAGCTCTTTAGCGTCTCACTCCACCTGAGGTCCTAGCTGGGCAACTGAACTAATTATTAAACACAACCAACCAAACCTCCTTCCACAATTAAATCAGGCGGCACCTGAGAGATACAAACCCACGTGGAAATGAGAACTCCGGAAACATTTTAAAACCGGTACGCGCCAGCTCCTCGTACCCCGAGGAACTCTCTTGAGCGGGACGATGCTCGGGGACTTGGGCTGAGCTGCAGCCCTGTCAGCGGACAAGTGTAACGACAGCCGGTCCGGACTCCTGTGAAGTGTAGTTCAGGACCGGGAGTGAGTGGAAAAGGAGGACGGGGAGGAGACGACGAGGGTCAGGAGGGGGTGACAGACAGGGGGGCGTGACGACGGGGATCTGGTGCTCGGGGGGCGTGGCCAGGGCGAACAAGTCCAAGGAGTCCAGGGGGGAAATCTGGGGGCGAAGTCCAAAAGTCCAAAACCGGGTGATCCAACCGAGACGGGACAAAACAGAGCTGAAAACCAGAACGGGACCCGGTACAGGGACAGGGGAATAAAAACAGGATGACGAGGCCAGGCGCTCCGAGCCCCGGACGCAGCTGGTCAGGACACTGATAGGAGGCCTGTGCCCTCAAGCCGCGGGCGTAGGGCGACTTGGTGGTAGGCGGGCCTCCGGGCGTCTGTCTTCCAGTGCAGAGCCAGGAGTAGCGAGAGCCAGGAGGGGCAGGACTGGGGGCAGGGGCATCTAATTAGCAAAATAAGAAAGAGCCGGCGCGCCCTTAAGAGGAGGGATTACGATCGTGACAACGAGAGCAGACGCAGAAATCGTGCCTGGTCTGCACGTGGGGCCTCTTCCCTGTCACGGCTCAGAAACAGCATGGCGCCTGCTGTCTCAGATCGCGAAACGGACGTCACAGAAGCGGCCTCGCTGCGCTCATGGAAGGACATTCGGGATTGTTTTTGTTCAGCGCCAACGGGAGGGAATTGTGAGTTTTGAAATTCAAGGGATCTGACTTCGACGCCCTCTCACCTAACCTCCCCCATCGAAGCCACAATGTCACAGCCAGAAGGAAGCAGACTGCGTCTTCCCCGGTGTCCTGTTGAGCTGTGTGGCGCAGACACTTACTTTGAAAGGGAACGATCTTCCCACACAAGATCCAATAAGCCTATTACCGACCTGCAAAACGAATTTACGACAGCCGAGGATGTGTTGATACAGTGTACACAAGGAAACATGCATCTTAAGATTTTAATATAGGTCACCATTTTTTTATTTTATGGAAATATACATAAATCCTGGGAATAACAATCAGTTTGCCATGGCATTGCATGAGAATGCAGTGAGAGTCACTACAGTGTTACAGCGCCAATGGATAATAAATATTGTGCAATATCTACCATTGGGTGTCATCCTGTGAACAGATTTATGGAGTGAAGCACAGTTCTCTTGAGCCTCTAAACCAGAATGCATAACTGTCACCTTCAACTCTTTACTTAGGTGCTGTCCATTATATAGCCAATGTTTCATGCCTCTCAATTTTCTGCCAATTTCAGTTTCATGCCCCATGCACTTCAATTTGTTTCTTCTTTTCAATAATTCTGGAGTGCCTGACTGTGCCTATAATTGGGAACTCTCTCACCATTCTGCTTTAAAATCTTCAAAGCAATGCAAGATCCCTGAGCTTTCACAGCAGCACAGGCTTTAACACAGAGAGCGCAGGCCCAAGTGTGAACCGGGGAAGCAGGAAAAGGAACACATTAAGAATGCAGGCTGGGTATTCAAGGAGTCTGTGGTTACACCCTTCCTGGGTGGCGTGATGACAACTGCGGCTCGTCTGCAAACCGTAGGGAAGCATCTGATCCTCCAAGATCAAACATAAAACCACAGAGAGGAAAATCAGCTCTGCAGGAAACAATAATGAAGCTCATGAAACAAACCAAAATAATCACGCAGATCTAATCCTTTAATAGCCTACTTCGAGAATGCAATCTGTACACAGCTGCACTTTAAAGGAGGCCTTCAGAGGAGGATTGCTCAGCATTGCAAACATGGGGGACAGAACAACAAGCTCTTAGACACAATAAAATGGGAAGATCTGACTTAACGTTTGGCAAAATGTGCAAATGAATTAGTTTCTCCACCGCGGAAGACTGGGTAAATTATGCATGCAACACACAACCCAGACCAGAGCTTGCTTTCGTACTGGATTTGCCTTTGAAATCACTGTTTTCAAATGAATGAAAGTCACATCTCATTTCTAACATAGTGCACAAAAAGCAACTCCTTCCGTCCTCGTACATTCAGATGGACCATTTTGCTACAGACGCTATTACTGCACTGTTGCTACATTTCATTGATATTTCCACACGTGGTTTGATTGGGAAAACAATTTGTCTCAGGTGTGAGCTGAGCATGCGTGATTCTGCATTAAAACGTCAGCACGGTAAATAAGCAGCAGAGCAGGCTCCACGCTGAGCTCGAGCGAAGCTGAACAGCTCAGGTGATACAGCCCTGGAAAGGAGAGAATGACAAGGCAGTTATGGCGCAAAGTTTGGGGAAGAATCTCTCGGAACAAGCCAGCACGTTTTTGCTGTGAGCTATTTTGTGATAAAAGCCGTAAATTACTTTTATATTTCTCCCCAGCGATATCTTTTGATTCAAACAGTGTGGTTCTCTCTGTCGGAGTAATTTAAATGTTGTGAATTATTTATGGGGCTTGGGAAGGCAAGGCGGGGTGGAGGATATTGAAGGGCCACTGCGTGCCGGCAGTGCGGAGGTCTGCGTCTCCGGAGAGCTGTGTGAGGGGGACCATCTCAGAGACACCTGGCTGGAGTGTGTCTCCCACTTCCCCTGGGGCTCGAGAGAGGTGAGAGCTCACTTGTTTTCTTGATTCCATCAACAAATGTAAACGCAAGACATGTGATTGCCTACTCTGTTTAATTGAGTTGTTTTGCATAATTTACTGAATTATTTCTGTGGTCCAGCAGTTTTAACAGCTACCTGAAAGAAACTGTTCAGAGAAGTTTCTTCTTCGCAGGAGCTGTGCTATGATTGTGCATTCAATGATACAGCACTGGCGGGGAAACGATGCCTGATTTTCATTCAGACTGCGCAGTAAATATCTGGGAAACAGCCCAGAACGGACTTTAACATATTTTCATGCCTTAAGCTTGAGCACAGAAATTCAAATGTGTCGGTGTGGGCTAGTAATTCTACAGCACACCTCTTACACTGCTGTTCGTGTTGTGATGACATGGTGGCTTCATCGTGCCGGAGGAAACTGGAGATGTTGTGGAGCTGTAACTTTCAGAAAGTTTGAGAAAGCAGATTTTGCCTGACGTCCTCATACCACACTGCGCGACTGTTCCCACGTTTCCTCAGATCTCCCCCTCCTCCCACACTCTGACCCCCTGTGGAGGAAAGAGCATGGAGAACAAACCCTGCTCAAGTGATTAATCCCCATGGACAGCAACCGCTGGCCACAGACCTGCCCTCTGTGCTGGAGAAGGAGACCTTGATGGAGAATCTACATGCAGATACACCTACAAAAACAGGCTGAACGCTTCTGATTTCAGACTGTCGTGGATTTCTCTGTGCCCTCAATTACCAAATAGGCCATATTTAATGAATGGGTCTCGTTTGTAACCATTCTTGTGTTATTTTTCTCTATGTTGCGTTTCAATAACAACTGTAAATAATGCTTCAGCTCTTGTTTGTTGCCTGCATGCAGTCCCTAACTCCTCAGCAAACAAGCTCATGGGTGCAGATCAGGTCCCGCTCACTTTCCATTGGGTCTGGGCTACCATGCGCTAAGCTGCCAAAATATAATTATCGTCAGTGTAACAGACCAGAAAAGGCGCACATTATCAGCTAATTAGATTTTATTGAGGATGGCAGTAAATGAACCTGGAAAGAAAAACAATGCTAATTTAATTATTTTGTTATAAAAGGTTGAAAATGCTAAAAACAATATGCATGCAACAAACCTACCTTTTCTTCGCCACTTTTACTATGAAAACAGGTATAGTCATTTGCAGACAGCAGAAGCTAGCACGGTAACTGCCTAACTGACTTAACGTATTTTTACAGACCTTTGTTATAAGGATGTCTTGCATTTACATTTCAGCATTTCAGTACACCCTGAACTAAAGCATAAAAATGCATAAAATATGCAAAAGATGAAAACTGTCATTAGGAACATTAGCATCATTTTACCAAAGTATTGCTAAAGAGATTAAACATTGAGATGATGCCAAGTCATGTTTGTATCTGGTTTAAAGCATCACATGGCCTTTTGTCTGATTCCACGGGGTTGGGACTCAAATGTAATTAGGCAACTTGATGTTGTATGACGAAAGTTACCTCTCTCTGTGCACAAGACGCGTTGGTTTCTAGCACTGATAAAAACATGTGCTGATTTTTTTTTTACCTCATCAACACTGACACCCTTTAGTGTTTGCCTTCCATCATACATTAGCAGTACAATTTCACACAAGATTAGGCGGGTAATTGTGTGTTAAATAAGAGAGGTTAGCCAGAATTGTGTGGCTTATGAAGTCGGTGTAGTTAATGACACCACATATGGACACGGCGATCCTTGTGAGCAGAACAGTGATCCCTGCCCATTTGAACAGACCCAGAGCCACTCCAGCTGGGGTTTACAACCAAACCCCTTTGAATCTTTGTACACAGGAACAGGCAGGAAAAATGCCACCAGGGCAACAACACAATTAGAGAAAGAGATTCCCTAATTTTCAATGCCGGGCTTGGAATTTGTACTGTATTCAAAAGGACTGGTTCCCATCCAACAGCCAGTTGGGGGCTAGGCTGACGATAATCCATTATCATTTTCGCATGTCAGGCTTCCAGAAGGCAGTGTTATCATATCACTTAACTCTGGCCCTCAGGGGAACGTCCGAGCGGGACTGAATAGACACCCCCGACTGGCGCGCACGTGTGAGAGAGATGCCAAAGTAATCTACGCGATGGGCCTCAAGCTAAAAAAAGCTCATTTAAACAATCGACATTATTATGAAACACAGAGTGAAAATGGGCAGCGCATTAGAATTTTAAATGCATCCAGTGCTGCAAATACAGATCCCCTTTATGTCCTTCAGTCTTGTCCCCGTTTTCTGGTTGTGAAGTTGCATTGTTTTCCACAATCTCAAGGTTGAGATGAAGTTTGCTGGCCAAAAAAGGAAATGCACACTGACCCCCCCAGCTTCCAGTAATCTGATCGCCAAATCCTACTCGTTACGAGAAGCCGAGAAGCTTTCTCTCGGCTGTCCTGACCTCTGCACCCTCTGAGGAAAACAATGAAACTTATGGTGACAGGTGTCAAAACCAGACAGTCTCCAGATGTTCTGGTCCTCTCCAGATGTCACGACACATTAGGACACACAGCAAGACATTTTCATGCCGGGTTTGTGGACTTTCAGGAGCTGAGGAATTGGCAGGGACGATTCTCCCCTCAAAAACGCTTTCAAACCATTTTGTAATAAATTGGAGTTTCATATCTTTCCTTTACAGCAGGTGTTTTTTTTATTACTACTTCCTTCTTGGTGGGGGAACCGGGGGCTCCACTGTTTTCCAGTATGCTGGTGATTATGTGGGAATTTTCAGATGTGTTAATTTGCAGACTGTAATCTGTTGGATGTTGTCCAGAACCCCGGCTTCAGAAAGGGCCCTTGGTGGTAAGAGGGAGGTATGAGCGCTCGGCTCCAGAGCGTACCAGCACTGGCAGCCCGTCCACAGGAACAGGAGAGCTGTCAGCCCAAGACTAAGAACCCCGCATGCCTGGCTCTGCAGACGTGCGATACACGGAGGCAGGCACGCACAAAAGAATCTGACACTCATCTGCGGCGTCCAGCTCTGTGTCCCCGATGACACATTTCCAAGCCGTCCTTCTTCGGAAACAGCTCTGCGATGCTGCCACCGTGAACCGCGCGTCCCCAGACCCAGCAATCCCTGCAGCTCCATTTTTAGCATTTGTCCTGTGAAAGTGTGGGAAGGTTCAGACATCCGTGTTGACATGAAGCAATTCGGCGCATCCGGGTCTGACCCTGAAGGGGCCTGAAACACTCCCCGTACCGCCGTTCGGTTTTCAGGCCCCGGTTTTCCCCGTTCACAGGAATGAGAAACCCCCAGCAGGCCCCCCAGGCCTCGAAGGGGGAGCCTTCGCTCACACAAAGGTCCGCACTCTGCACAGTCCACGGAGTGTCAGGATGCCAGCTCTGTTCAAGAGAAAGAGCTCCCTTCTTACAAAACAGAGGCATCTGGCGTCTCGTCTTACTTAAAGATCAATTTTAAAGTGTGATTCCAAACAGCTTCTCCGCTCCTCACACATGGCGGAAGAGCTTTTTTTTTGCATTCTTGATAAGACTCTTGTCCTTGATGGTTGGCAGGTATTTGAAGCCGCCGTGCCTAGCTGCTTAATGACATTTTGATCACAAAACCCATCAATTCAATCCGCCGCCCAGGCTCCAGCCCTGTACCCAGACCAGTGCTGGTGCTGTTGGCTGCCTGTGCTCAGTGGCTTCTAACTCAAATCCAGACAGCGGTAAATTAAGACGGACCGGCTGCAAACAGCCGATAAAGAGAAAGGCGCAGCTGGGGACATAACATGAAGGCAATGGAAAGAAAAGTCCCCTTGCAGTGAACCTTCTAGGAACTGTAATCCTCCCAAAGAATTATAAATGTATGAATTAAAACAGGAATCCAGTTTCCCTGTGGACTCTTGCTCACAGCACAACTGCAGATGAGTGAATGCAGAGCAGAGGGACACTCTGGCGGCGGTTGCTGTTTGTCTCTTTTTCCTGCCCCGATGAAGACCACTCAAGTACTTCTGTAAAGCGAGCACAAGCACAGAGCTGCATGGCAGACGGGGAGAGAGGCCAGGCGAAGGGTTAACAACTGCCCCCCCGCCTCGCAGGCTGCAGAGCGAGACCCTCACATCGACTCCGCGCGGCTCAGCAGTCAATCACAGCGCCGGAGCCCCTGTGTCGCTGCGTTGCCATGGGGCCGCAGGGCCGGGCCAATCGCAGCGCCTGCTGGCAGGGGGGCCGCCAGCCACACACTGGCGTGAGGGATCGAAGCCTCCCGAACACCTCGGCACGACCCCCGCTCCCGAGGAGGGGCAGGGCGGCCCTGTGCGCAGGGGGGCGGGTGAAGGCGCTGTGCGCGGGGGGGCAGGGCAGCGCAGTGCGCGGGGGGGCAGGTGCAGGAGCTGACAGAGCCCCCCATCCTCCGGGCCCCCCTGGCAACGCCACCCACACTGACTGGCCCTCTCGCCGTCTCCCCCCCAGACCCCCCCAGCAGCCGAGCCAGACCCGGACCCGCCCCGTGAGCGCGCGCCCCCGCGGGACCTCCCGGAGCATGTTCCTCTGGACGGGAAGCAGGACTGCGCAGGGACCGGGGCCCGAGAGGAGGTACCGCTGCCGCTCGCTCCTCGCCTCTGACCTCTGACCTCTGACCTTCCTCTGCCAGCTGCGCCCCGCTTGGCAGGGGCCCTTCCCAGCCAGAGGAAGAGGGGCTGCTCTGGACAGGGCTCAGGGACGGCCCTGACTGGTTTAGAAATCTGTACTGGGCGTCCAGTGCGTACTTGAATAAAATAATATTCACAAATATTTTCTTCTTTTTGCATAGACCTTTTGGTCTCTGACCTAAAACGTAGCCAGATATTCCAAATGACAAAAACAACTTATATTAATGGTTCGGTTAAAAAAAACAACACACGCAATTTAAACATGGGGAGCCGATAATTGTTGACGAAATCCAACAGATTTCATAACTGTTGGTAACAGAACTGTTGACAGGGGAGTGGTGTAAGTAACTCAGCGTTTCTTCATTTAAGACGCACATCTGAAAATGAACACGCTGCAAATCAGTCAAGTCATGTAAATCAGCTGCTCTTGTAATCTCAATTAATTAAATGCTTAACATTGATTATCAGTATCCAGTAGAGCGTGTGCAGTTTTTTACAGAATTAAGAATCGAGTCATAAATCTATAACACACAAGAGTAATCCATATTTTTTCCAGGAGAAAGAATTACTTGCAAGTAAGAAATTGACTTTCAAAAGACAGTCCTTACACTCGCTCTATAATTGAGTAGACCTGATTGATTTCCTTTATATGCAGATGTAGATCATATTACCTTATCTGTAAATCATGTAATATTGATTTTGTGCTGTTCTAGTAAGTGCAAAAGATGTTTATTTGAAAGAACTTAATTAGCATACATGCTTTCAGTCACAAAAGGGCTGTGCATCGAGTTTACGCCGTTTGCATCTGTTTCAACAACCACGTCTGTAATAAACAAATACAACTGCATGAAGTCTGTGTGGAGTTGAGACTGAGCATAAACAGAAAGTCAAAATCCCCTGCTTCTATTTAAATGTCACATAATGGCACACCCAAGTGTTACCTGTCACACGGGCAACATCAGAAATTCGTGTTGTATCCAGCTGTGAGTGACCGGACCTGCGTGTGCCTGACTTTGTGTCCTGTCCTGACTATCACAGTGAAAACGAGTCAATTAAACACACAGTGCAACAAGGTGCGCGGAAAAAGCGCTAAAACCTGACTGGACGAGTCGTGTTATAATAAGCTCCCTTCTCCAGTACAGGAGACGAGCTCTGGGATATTGCACACAGGTGCGATCTGTGTCCAAGATGCACACTCTTTTCTTCATCCCTGCAGTGGCCTAAAATCATGTATTTAACTTCCTGTAGGTGACGATTGTAATCTGGGGTGATGCAGCGGAAATGTAAAAGACCTGTTGTTGGCTTGTTGTGTTTTGAGCCGCATGTTTGTTTGAATCATCAGGACGATTTACCAGAAAATCCGGGAGCACGACCTCCTGGACAAGAGGAAGACGGTGACGGCGCTGCGGGCCGGCGAGGACAGAGCCATGCTCCTGGGCATCAGCATGATGGGGTTCTCCGTCATGACGTACTTCCTCCTGGGAATCACCGTGGTGCGCTCCTACACGGAGAGGTAGGGGCGCTGGGGCGCTTGGGCTCCCTCTGGTGGTCAGACAGGGATGAGCGCCGTGTGCAGAGCAGATCACTCAAGAGCACCGTTATTATAATTATTATGACTAGATTGACTTACACTGGACTTATTGTTTTTAGAAAAAAAATATATTTTCAGATGATAGAAAAATTACATTGGGTTTGTCGGTACAAGGAACGATCAAGCAAGTGCAATAAGGTACAAAATTAATAAATAAATAAAATAATTCTTAAGGCAGAAGGTTGTGGGATTATGGAACTAGATACCCAACCATGATGTCAAAAACCCGATGTCTTTCCAGAAACAGCTGCAGGAAAATCCCGGGATCAATACCTTAGCTACTAACTCCAGAATGGGCTTGGCAGGGCGGGTGGTCGGCTTCAGAGGATTTGCCCAGCCTCCATCCCATTGGAGACTGGTGGGATTAGTGGGATGTGCACCTCAGCCCTACATGACCTCACCCTCATCCTCACTCCAGCCGAAGGCAATCCTGCTGTAGAAATTGTGGCCAATTTTGGGATCAGCCTACCTGCACCTGCAGCTCGTCCTCACTGTGGTCCCTCAGCAGCAGTGAGCAAGGCCACGGACACCCCAGGCGCCTCACACAGGCACGCTGTGGGTCGCCGAGCAGAAAAATCTGCCAGTTCAGAGATTCCCCCTGTGCTGTAGCCTGTGGTCAGCACAGGCAGCCCCCTGTGTGGACCCCAGGCTGCACCGTGCTCACTGAGAGACAGAGAGCTGGACCGGCCAGGGTCTGACTCTCTGGGGGGGTTTTACAGAATTTTAAAGGTGATCACATTCAGCCCATGTTGGGCCCTGATGGAGCACAGTGGGGGAAAGCTTGATCGTGCAGGCCGCCTGCTGATCTGGTGCAGAGGAAAGTGGCCGTAGCTGGGCGGGATCTGAGGGTGAGCTCTAAGCTCTGCCAGAGGCCTGGGAGGTTCAGGGCTCAGTCATGGCAGGGCGCCCACCTCACCTGGGGTGTGCCCAGAGAGTGACACTTCGACCCTTCTCCTTCTCCGGCAAGCACTGTGGCGCTGACCGGCCCCATCAGCGACCAGTGTCTCAGCAGGGGGTGTGATAGAGCCTGTCCCTGTCCCAGCAGGCAATGGGTGCAAGGCAGGGTGCACCCTGCACAGGATGCCAGTCCATCCCTTGTCACTTGCCAGAGCTAGTTTTCCCAGAAGCCATTTATCCTGCCAGTATGTCTTTGGAGGAAACCCACGCAGGTCTGGACCCAGTGCTGCCAGGCAAACCTTCTCTGAATCTCTTGTTCCACCCGTGCTGCTACAGCATTATAGAGTCATAGTGGATTATTAAATACAGACTCTGCGTGGGCAAGGTATGAAAACAGGGATAATAGTCTGTTATCCATGACTTTAAAGCTAGTATCTAGGTAATACTTGGCATTATAACTGGTAACCAGTATATAATCCTTTTTCTTTCTTGAATCGTCCTCAGCATATGGACAGGGGAGTCCAACTGCACTGTGCTCAACTCCAGCATCGTGGCCGACGTGAACTGTAGCTACAGCTGTGGCTCGGACTGCTGGAAGGGCTCGAGGTACCCCTGTCTGCAAGTGTTTGTCATGCTCAACTCTTCTGGGAAAGCAGCTCGGCTCTCCCACAACGAGGAGATGCAGGAGCTGAATCCTGAGGTGAGTCCAGGCACGACGCCAGCCAGAATACTAGTCAATAAGGTCGCGTGACTCAGTGCTTACTGGGGACATTGTCCTCATCGGGCTCTGCGTGACACAAGTTGCACAAGGCATGGATACATTTGTCATTGTAGGTGTGGTATTGTGTCCCAGTTTCACTGCCACGTCTGTTAAGGCTTTTCATTTTAATACGAGGCCTCTGACAATTTAAATGTTGTGTGTAGTGTGCTGACTTCGATTACAGACCCTTTTTCTTTCTCTTTCTAGTGCTTTTTTGTGCCCAAATGCCGGAAGGACTACTCCGTGGCGCAGACGATAATTCGGAACATTTCCGAGCGCCTGAAGGTGCACCAGCACTTCCCTTGCTACTACGACCCCGGGGAAGGGCAGGCCAGCGTGCTCCTGACCCGGCTGCACGGCCGCAGGGCGGTGCTGCTCTCTCTGCTCTGGCCCTCCTGCACGCTCCTGGGGGGGGCGCTCATCGTCGCCCTGGTGAAGCTCACCCAGCACCTCTCCATTCTGTGCGAACACATCAACAAAATCAAAAGGTGAAACAGCGTAAAAAGATCAGCACTAAAGCGCATTCCTGCCGTCTCCTCCAAAACCTCAAGGAGCGACGTTTTTGTCTGGAAAACACGCCACCCTCCCTCCCAGAAAATCTGCATCTGAAAATGTGTTTTTGTTCCTGTTCTGAAATTATCCTTTGAGGCTTCACTGCTTCACTGCTTCAGACCGGCTTTGTGGATCAGAACCAGCAAACAGTGTGCTGGAGAAAAGCAAATCTTTGCTCAAATCCCAAAGCTGAACATTCAGGAAAAGTCCTAACAAAGGGAAAGAACACTTTCACTGGATTTATTGTGTTTAACGATCATACAGCACCTGTCTCACTTTGGCTTTTTTCTTCTGGATACTTCCATATCTCTGCCCTTACCTTAAAAAGACAATTCTAAAAACAAACGATGACAGAGAGCACTCGTTGTCTGCCCTCGAACTCTTGGACTGCTCAGTTTATTGGGGTTCAGTAGGGAAGGCACCCAGATCTGACTCTAGGAATGTGGTACTGAGGCATTGAAAACTCTCACGAGCAGATGAGAGGGATTATAATGCCAGACTAAGTCAAGCAGGATCAGACCTGTTAAATTACAGTGTGAAATGTACTGTTTGGCAGTACAGTTACGAACCCCAACAGCAAGCACTGTGCAACTACACATGACTATAAACAGAAGGCACATCCGGGGAAATTGTTAGCAATACTCTACTGCTCAGGTAAAGGTATGCAGCCCTGGGTAAGACTGATATTCCAGCCTCAGTGCTGATGTATTACAGGTAATCAAATTCATATTGCTCACATTTCAAAACGAGAGCGACGGCGGTTTTTAAAATGTGATTTCTCTCTTACTGCATTTTCAAATGGAAATTGCGCCTGGCGTCTCATTGCAGGGCATGATCCCTTCCCGATCCCCGTGCCTCCAGGACGGGACAGGCTCCGGGCTGCCGAGTCCCACACCAGGAATAGACGGCTTTCTGGGAATGGATCTGATGATCAGTGGAAATTAAGTAATGAATTTAAAACAGCTGCCAACAATGGTTCCTTCTTGTTCAGTTTTTCCCCTTTGGAACAAAAGTCTTGCACGCTGCAGTGTTTAAGTGCTGCAAACACGGTGTTCTATATTTTAAATGCAAGTGATGTCAGCATAACTGTGAGCAGGCAATTCTGGAATCATTGTACTCCAACACAGCCTTAATTTGGGCTAAACTTCACCTAAAAATCAAATGAGCTTATTAACTGCTTTACAAACTAAACGTACTACTGACTGTACCATCTGCTACAATTTCACAGCACTGTGAGGATTCTCAAGTGTTTGTCTCTGATGGAAGACAATGTGTGAAATGTACTTCCTGAGCTAAATTTAGGCATACCGCAGTAAAAGTTTAAATCTCCTTTTTTAATTCCATTCGCAGTGCCAAGCTCAGCCACGCTGAGACACGTGTGACCAGCACCTCAGAATCAGTCATGTTGCAGCAGAGCTCAGTGTGGCACAGTTGTTAGTTTCCTCAGAAGGTTTCTTTGTGGAACGGCACGGACTGTGGCAAGGAGCGCACATTAAAGAGCAGCTGGGTAGATTAATCGGCACTGTGGGAAGAGGCAACTGAAGCTGCTTCAGTTGGAGAGAGAGGGAAGGAATTCTTCTTACACACTTCCTATTGGAAATTGTCACGATCAGCTGAGGACATCATTGGAATCACCTGACATCCACACGTGGGAACAGCAGGGCCACAGACTCAGTCACTGTACGGGCTCCTAACAAACCCAGCCTCTGCAGATCCTATAACATGCTATTCCAGTGTCTACACCAAGGTGGCGAGCTACTTTTTATACTGTTGATTACCATTGATAAATGAAAAAATAAAGATCTTTATAACAAATCGGTTTGATAAATTATTTGAAAATACTTTCACAGTTCAAATCTAGGATGGATTTCAATGAAAAGATCATTTATTCATTTATTAAGTTAATAATGTTATATATAGGAATTGTATTGAGTTACTATGCTGTATGTAACTTTGGGAATCTTTATTTAAACCACTGCTCTTATCTCCAGGGAGCTCTGCTCTTCGCAGGCCACCATGCAGCAGGTCTCTATAAACCTCCAGCAAGGCCTCAGCTTGTACAATTAAGAAACTAATGAGCTCAGTTGGGTGATGAAGGGCTCAGATTGAAGGAAAGCCAGAACTCTCCTGGCCCTGCAGGACTGGAGCTGTGCTCCTCTCTCTTATCAGACTCCCTGTCTTTTTTTCCAAGAAATAAGAAGTGGCCGGAAGAGATGCTGAGAAGACACTACAGCACGTCATCCTGCCATGAGAGGGCGTGAGTGACGAAGCCCACATCCCATGGTCCCGGCGGGGAAGGGAGTCACTCTCCAGAGCCTGATCCCCCTTCACGCCGAACACCATCTCTCCAAACGGAGGGAAAACGCCCTGGAGCTGCAAGCGCAGCATGAGCCGTTTCTGCAGTGACATCAGCGTTGCAAACCGCTGCAAAGCATCCAGCAGGGTGGGCCTCTTCCTGCTGTACTTGTTCTGTTGATCGCCGGGCCGGCCCACGCATGGAAACACTGTTCAGGGGAGGAGAACGCTGTTTCGTGGGAGTCTCCCCGGCAGGCCCAAGCTCCCTGCGGCTCTGGAGCTGCCCCTGCGCGGAGTCAGACTGCGAACATCTGTGCTGGACGCCGAAGAGCTCTGGCAAGAGCAAGGATGACCCCCCGCAGGAAACTGGACGCTGCAGTTTCGTTAGGGTTAGGATTACAGTTCCTCGCCTCAGCGAGGGCCACAGTGCACTGACCGCCCAGCGGTGGTGTCCACCTGGGTCCTGGACTCACCAGCAAAATGTGTTTGCAATGAGCAAAGCACTCTTGTATCACTTTAACATACTGGAAGTACGTAATTAAAACTGACACACACTGGAACTCAGAGCTGTTCTTATAAAAATGAAACCTGAGTTCTGGAAGTGGAACTCCAAAAACAGTTAAAGGTATAAATATTACCTTGATAGTACAGAAGTTAAGTATTTCAAGTGTTGTGAATAAGCACCGTTAATCATCTGTATGTTATCGGTGATTTCCATGAAGTAACAAATTATTCTAAATTTCCATGGGCATCCTCTTTCTCTCTGAAGAGATCAATGTTAATGGAGACAACCTGTGTGCGGCTCCTACGCATTTCTGACATAGGAATTTGGCACCCTCTGCTGTTTATTGTGCAGGAGAACTAGTGGACAAAAACCCGAGAACAAGTGATAAAAACATAGATCAATATCAGAACGTACTTCTCTTCTTCCCTGATAAAAATGATCTCTTGCTAAGGAAGCCCATCTTGCTTGTTTTTTTGCTAACTGATCTCATCCAGCTGTTTCTTGAAACAGGAGGTATCTGCTTCAGCAACAGGGCAGGGTAGCCTGGTCCAGCCTCCCACAACTGTACAGATGTTTAAGTGAGAAAGTTCGTCGGTCACTTGTGATTTAAACGCAAAGGCTGGGCGAGGCACCTGTGTAGCCATTTCATCCTGATTTGAGGTTCATAATCAGACCAGCTGATTCCTACAAAGTCCTACATAACATACACCTTAGAAATGGCTCTCACACCCATGATCTGCAGTTTGTGTTCCTTGTGCTGTATCCCAGAAAAGCCACAAAACTTCTGGAGCTCCAGGAAGCTGGAGAGCACCGCGAGAGGGAGGAGACGGGTTGATGCGCGTCCCCTAGATCATCATCACATCCTTGAGGTCCACCAGCACTCACTAACAGACAGTCTGACAGATAAGGGCTGAGCTACACCCACTGCCTTCTATCTGTGAGAAAGCTGAAGATCCACTGGCAGGTGGAAAGTGGGACACTCTACTGTAACAAGGGAAGAGGTGAGCAGTGAGTGCCAGGACCTCACAGAACTAGAGGAGCTCATCAGAATGCAAGAGCTACGATCGTCACTAATGAGCCCGTTCTTCAAACCCACACTAAAACTCATTCAGACATTTCATTATGTTGTTATAGTCAGACAGTCAGCTCTAACATTGGGAGGACAAAGTTTTGTCATTTGCGATAACAGGTACAGTACATACTTGTCCAGGCAGTGTCGAAAGGAACAGGACAGAAGTTCACAAGACGAGAGTCACTTAGGGGCAGCTGGCATGGCTTCCAGACACACTCCTGGGCTGTAAACACCCTGCTGATCAGCCCTGCTGACTCCAATGTCACGCCTGTTTGTCAAAATGTTAGTGTACATGCTACCAACAATTAGCATTTTCCTGATGATCATCTGGTGAATTAGATCCTGTTTTAATTGTTTTCTTTTAATGCTCACTATAGAATTACAAACATCATGCATGAGCCTGAGCAAGCCTGCACTGATGAGCAAAGAAAAAAAGAAAAACATCTCACCCACAGAGTGCATGCGAAATAAAGGCCACCCCCGTACCTCTGGTAGTAATGTGTTACATTTTATCATTTAATCTGAGGACAATCCGAGGCGTTTTGCTGATGATGCCAACATGACACTGCTGAAGTCATAAAAGAAAAGGCCTTTTTGTCAGCACGGCGCAGTCACGCAGGGTTCAAACTGTAACACACCCCCCAAAAGCATTCAAATAAACATACTGCAGCATTTACAGCTGTATGTTTAAAAAAAGCAGCTGCCCAATAATTTGCAGTTTGGAGAAGGCCTTGGCACTCCTCTTTCCTGTAACGTGAGCGGGCAAGCTTTACAGCTCCAGTAATGATTACTCACTGCTGCCACACGCACGTAAAAGATCGCAAAAAAAAGTACAAACTATTTATTTCGAAAAACCCAAATAAAGCGGGCACGTGGCCAAACCGCAGGCTACTGGCGGAACCGACCATGTCACTTGCAGCGAGCAGCTGGCTGCTGGGGTGTCCGGTGGAGGGGGCCCCACTGCGCTCACCCCCTCCCCCAGGAGCTGCCGGAGCTGGGGGTCACAGCGAAGGCCTCGACCTTCCCCTCCACTCACCTTCACGGTCCGGCCCCCGGCCCGCTGACGAACTCGCTAGGCACCGACGGCAACACGGTAACAGTAATCCTCACATAAATGAGAATATGCTAGAGGGTGTGTTTTTTTTGGTGGGGGGGGGGTGAGGGTAAATAACATTAAATGACACCATCAAACGGTGTTGGTTTTAAACCTTCATTTCCCAACCTAAGGGAAATGTCTTCTCCACTCCAGCATTGATTTGCAGTCCTTAGGGATGAAAAACGCTACATAAATGTAGGGAACTCAAGGGAATTCATTATTCCAAAGAAAACTCAGCATTGAACCAGGAAGAGAGGAGCACGCTTGTAAGTTGTCCAGGGTGTTGCTGCTAGAGGGAGCTTCCCAGAATGTGGGAATACAGCAGGAGAATATTAATGTCACTCCTTGCATTTTCTCATTGCTTTTCATCCTGTAGAAGCCCAAAGCTCTGTACATACAGAACAGTCATAGGCACTCGAACACTTAAAACACACCTTTACAGGAGGTTAACTCCACACTGAAAAGCAGGAAGGATGAGGGATGGGAATATTTCAGCTCCTTCAGGAGTGAGTGGCACCTCAGCTGCAATGTGCTTTTCCCTTCCTTTACTTGCTCCTGCGCTGCCAACGCGCCCTGACGCTGTCCCAGCTCGGACATTGGAACAACCTTCAAACCAGACAGGAATCCTTCAGACTCGCGGAACCGGCTCCTCTGGAATCAGAGAGACCCACCCAGGCAGTAAGACAAGGGGCCAAAGCTGGCTCACTGACCCTGCCCTCGCCGGGCGTCCCAGTGCCACTGGCCGGGACCAGAGCGGACCGGGCTTCGGCACACTTCAAAACCACCGCAGGCAAACAGCGGGACAGAGAAGGTCTGGATGTGAGTTCTGGTACTTGTACTGATCCATGCGAAAACAGCTCAGTAGCAGATGGAAAATGCAAAACTGTATTCAGTACTTTCACTGAATTCACTGTACTCAATTTTTATAATCTTTCGTTTTTAATAAATCTCCTAGTTGCTACTTTTTATTGTTGTTGTTGTTGTTGAAGAACAAACTGCAGGTGCCAAGGGTCTGTGAATAGTGAACAAGGAGATAACAGAGACTAAATCATTCAGCCTCAGCAGTTTTAAATTACGGCTTCATACGAACAGACTCGTCTCGATGCTTCGGATGATCTGAGATCTACGTGAAAGATATTACTTCCAATATTCCACACCTACTGCAGCTCCAGCAGAACTGGACCTCGGAATTCAGACCAAATCTGATTCAATTCAAACACCGTGAGCCACAACATCAACCGCATGACTAACGCTCACCTGAATGGATTCGTCGTCTCCACTACGTCATTTCCCCTTTGATTAATGAGCCACAGCGGCAATCAGTCCGAATGAGTAAATACATTGCCATCCGGGGTTGTGAACTGAGTCTGGAGTCCTGGGCGCAGTGCTTTCTGAAAGGGCAATGTAACAGCACAGCAGCTCTGTTCCCAGCTGAAGAAGCACGAGGGAGTAAGACAACATCCTTCAAGGCTCCGAGTCCTCTTATAATAATAATAATAATAAT